ATATTGCGTCACCTTTTCCACCGGCACTAAAATGACATTGCAGTATTTATACCAAAGCTCAGATGGCTCTCATCAGATGACCGATTGCCCCAAGTCTTTGAAAGGTAATTGCCCAGTTAGTGCAAGGCATTTGAGGGTGGAAGACAGGAAGAAAGAGTATAGGGTGGAGGAGTTGCTAGAAGCTGGGTTCTCACTTTTTCCTTTTGTCCTCGGAATAAACTTCAGTCTGATCTCACAAAGTGGACAGGCCCCAAACCATCTCTGAGCTAGCTGAGTAAACATTTACTATGGATGAGTGTGAGTACTGACTTCCATTGAAAGGAAACCCATTGACGGGCAGGCCCCACAGCAAAGCAGGAGGTCTGTGTTTGGGAAGAACCTCTGGAGTGTTTGGCAAAGTGGAGGTCACATGGCTTGAAGATGTCACACTCTCAAGCCTTGTCTACAATATTACTATAACCGAATCGAGGGACCTGATTACAACCTGTTTTAATGTTGTACTGTGGAACATGTTTAAAGGGACATGGCTCTGTGGTAACCACCTACGCTTTTTAATCATGTTGTAACCAGATTGGCAGTAGTGTTGTTGATGTAAACACAGGAAAATGGAGTTTGCCCATTTGGGGAATATGGGGATTGGTTTAGGTTAGTTTACTCACTTTTTTTTTTTTTTAAACTACTGGCGATTAGGGGAGAAATATGTTGTAACCAAGTTCCCTGACTCCTTTATAGTTGCAATAAAGCTAACAATGTAGATTGGGCCTTGGTAGCTTCAGAAGAAGGCCATTGCACTCTGGGGGTAGATTTTGTATAAGGGAGGCCTAGAGTAAAACCAAACTCAGATGCCAAGCATGAGTAAAGTCTATGTCCCATTTCACTGGGTTCTTTCACTGTTTAAAGCCTCTCATTTGAACCCTGCCTTTGGGATTAATCTGGCAAATGCTGAGTGGGAACACTCAACATCTCCCAGGATAGTTCAGTACCTTCCAGGACTGAATCCTTAAAAGGAAACAGAATTGCAAATATTAATGTACTGGCAAAAGCTAAACATCCTGTATGAAATCTAGTATTTCAATTTATCTTACTAAATATAAGGCAGCCCTTTGGATAGTCTAGCTATTACCTGTCAATAGATTAGTATAATCTAAAATGATTTTGAAGGGAAGAATTACAGTGCACAACTATGTAATTTTAAAATTCAGAATCAAATTCACCTTCACTCAGTAAAACACTGATCATTATTTTAATGGCATGTCTTGCATCAAAGGCTGCATAAAATGAGTGTCTATAGAAGTGCACATGCATGATGAAATCTCCATGTTTTTATAATATACATTTTAAGGAAATGTAGTGCCCTTAAACGGTACTGAACTGATTGAATTCCTCTCTTTGTCGACCACACAGGCAGCCAAATATGAGGACACTCATATTGGCAATGCATATTTCCCCAGTCTGTCTCACCAAAGTACCTTAAGCCTATCCTGAAGTAACCACCCTTTGGTGAGTTAGTCACCACACATTCAATCAACGTCAATGCCAATACACTTCACAATCGCCACTGACCAGCTGTCAAATGGCAACAGTGTCTCTTCCCTACTGTCCAGGACTGTATTTGAACCAGTGACCTAGAGATGAAAGGGCTGTATCCCATTACCAGTCCTATACAGTCCCCCAGTGGATGGCATTTACACATTTTAAAACGCTTATGGATCATTTTAATTTTCAACAATTTTATATCTTATTACAATTATGGTTTTCAATAAGGAACTCTAAAGTTTTGATGTTGCCCCCTCTATGATGAGATGATAGGGTTGCCAACCCTCCAGGATTGTCCTGGAGTCTCCAGGAATTAAAGATTAGACTTTAATTAAAGATTGTCATGTGATGAAACCTTCAGGAATACCCCTAACTAAAATTGGCAACCTATGAGATGATATAGAGTCTGCATAAGGCCACTTTGGGAGGAAGTCTGCAGTCACAGGAGACAAAGGAAAAATCAGCAGGGGAGCCCATCATGGGATATTTAACATCAAGACTGGATGAGAAATGCAGAGAAATGTCAGACTATTGTATGGGTTTTGGATAAAATATTATATTTTGGTAAGTTGTTTTTTTTTTTTTTTAATGTGAGCATGGTGGGGAGACTTAATGATCACACTGGGTAGAGTTCAGATAGAGTTGAACAGGCATTTCTGCTTAAAACACTTGTACTTACAAAGAGTAGAAAGGGTTGATCCTGTGGTTAAGGAACAGAAGTTGCTATCAAAGATCTGGGTTCTATTCCTGTCTCTGCCACAGATGTCCTGTGGGATCTTGGGCATGTCATTTAACTTGTCTTAGCTGCTGCTTCTGTCAAATGAGGATAGTGCTTCTTACCTAGCTCGCAAGGGTGTTGCAAGACTTAATTGTTTATAAAGAGCTAAGATATCATTGACTGGAAGGTGTTATACAAGTGCAAAATATTTTTACTAGACAAGGTTCCTTAAGGCAGTGCTTCTCAAGCTATCTGATGTGGGGGACCAGCAATTTTTTTTTCCAATGTGCCAGGGACCGATGCTATATTATTATCCTATTTGACGCTATTATGAGGAAACTCGCCGCGGACCGGCAGCCGATGGCTCGTGGACCGGCACCGGTCCGCAGACCACCACTTTGAGAAGCACTGCCTTAAGGCACAGCTTTGCCTGCTCTCTATTGAGTCAGATTCATTATTGTGATTAGAAATGGGTGAATAATCTGCAAAGAATAAATTACTTCACAAATTTATGGGAGGGGTTTTCAGCTCTGGAAATGTCATAGCAGATTTTGAATTTGTCATATGACTGTATTTCACACATCTTTTTGAGAATACTTTACCTTTCTGAATTGTTTGTGAACAGCATTGCATATACTTGGTATAGTATGGTAAAGTTTGAGCTGTTGTGGTTACTCAGATAAGTTACATTGCATCAAGTCAGATTCTGGCATCAGTTACTCAAGATACATACTGTTGTAACTCTGCATTTGCACAGCTATAAATGGGATTGAAAGTTTGCCCATTGTTTCTGTTCACTGACCGAACCCTTGCCCAGATATTGCTGGTGAGAAAACTGAATCTGAATCCTTCCCATGCTGCCAGAGCCAAATGCTACGTTAAGGCACAAATAAGGCTCTGCCATCCCTGTCTATCCTGGACTGCTCTTTGCCTGTCCTCTGTGTTAAGTCCCTTTGAAATCAGGTGATTAGCCAATGTTTGGGGTCTTGTGATTTGTTTCTATAAGGAGGAGAAAATAGAAGATGGAATTGGGTATTTATTTGATGCAAACCTTTTCATTTACAAAGAATGTCGATGGTTTAACACAGACACTGGTGTCAAACAATGATGCATTCTCTCACCTCTTCTGTTTGGCATTACCATTGACCTCATTATGAGAGAAAGCGTAGACCAATGCAAAACAGGCATTGCATGGGTCAACAACAGGACACTAGAAGATTAAATTTTGCTGACAACACAGCTCTTCTGAGTGACTGTTCAGCCAACGTGCAAGTCAAGATTGAAAGTATCGCAAAAGAAAGGGTTAATAGTTATGAAAAATAAATAAATCTGAGAACCCCAGCAGCTCTGAACTCACACATTATGTTAGAAGGCAAAGCAATACCGGGGTGAGTCAATTCTCATATCTTGGCAGTAGCACTGAAGCCCAGGGGGATGTCCAGAAGGAAATAATGTCATGAATTGGCAAGGTGGCAGCTGCTTTCATTAGCTTGAACAAGACTTGGTCACTGAAAATCTATAGTTTAAAGACCAAACTCTCACTCTTTAACTTAAATGTTATTTCCACCTTAGTATAGGAATGTGAAAGCTGGAAATCCACCAAAGGTATAGACACATGTCTAAATGTCTTTGGAAGAAAAAATACCTCAGGAGAATACTAGATATATAACAAATGCCAAGATTCCCTAGGAAGTTCAACAGCTTCTTATCTCCAGTTATCTAGAAAAGAAAATGGAAATATGTGGATGCATAGGTGCTGGAACCGGGGTTGCTGGAGGTGCTGCTGTGCCCCCTGTTTGAAGTGGTTTCCATTATATACAGGGTTTACAGGCTCAGCACCCCATTATATAAATTGTTCCAGCACCCCTGGTGGGATGTGTTAAGAATGAATGCTCATGCCCTTCAGGGCAGGGACCATCTCCCGCTCTGTTTGTACAGTGTCTAGCACAAGGGAGTCCCATTCTTGGCTGGTCTTAGGCACTGTCATACTAAACATGTTAAATAACAATAAATGTTTGCCATGGCAGGGGGGGTCGGGGGCAGCTGGAGGAGAGAATACCCATACATGCAAATATGAAACTCTTGGTTTGTAAATACACTTATGCCTGAAATTCACTTTCCTTCATGTTTGCACCACTAAAATCAATCGCTGTTTGCAGAAAGCCAGCACAAAACGCGTGGGAATGTTTATGGGAATTTGTACTGTCCATCGCTAATAATCCATGATTAACCACTTTTGTAAGCGGGGTTTGTCAGGAGTCAGACTTGTCAGTGTCACCCTTGTTTTACCTCCTGAATTAGGTGCCATCAGCCTCCACTTCACAGGTGAAGCTGTGTTAAACACAGTTTGCCTTTCTCTTCCTTCCCCTCCTCTCGGCAAGCAAGAATCTGGGTAATGCTGAATTTCTTTTCTCTCTCTTTGCGGTGGGTTGGGGGGGGGTTAATTACTGGGTTGGTTGGGGCCAACCCGGGCCCACCTTTCCCCGCATCCCAAGCTCAGCGGTCACTGTATGTCACTTGCTTTGAAGCGGCAGCAGCGTGCAAAGCCCAGCTTGTGTGTTGCTGTAGGCGGGTCCCCCAGTGGAAGCGAGTGACCCGCCCCCAGCCTACCCGTGTTTTATTTAACCAGATCCCGGACTAGCAGCGTTTGAGAGGGTGGGGGGCGGCGGTGTGGATGTCCCCACTGGCGGAGCTTCCCGCAATCCTCTGCTCACCCGCCCGCTGCCGGTGCTGGCTGTCCCTGGCTGCTGCTAAACCTCGCTCAGGAGCGCCGAGCTGGCACTGGAGTGGGAGGCAAATAACACCCACAAAGGCAGCAGCACAGAGCTCCCCCCCCCCCCCCCGCTTCTCCTTGCAGCTCAGACATGGGGCCGATCGCTTGCAGCGCTTTGCTAGCCACCCTGCTGCCCTTTGTTACCCGCGGATTTGCTGACACAGCCAGGTTAGTAGACCAGGACCGGCCCAGGGCACTGCTCTCCTCCGCATTGCACGGAAGCCCCGCGGGGGCCAGGCAGGGGAGGGTGAAATTGGGGGTGGTCTGCCTGTCTCTCCCAGCGAAGGAGCGCTCAGACCCTAGGCGAGAGCGGGACAAGCTCTCTGCAGTGACTAGAGCAGAAGTCGTGCGAACCTTCAATGCGCCGAGTGTCCGCCCTTTGTTTCTGCTGGCCAGCGATCAGGGAACGGGCGCAGTACAGATGTGTTGGTTAGTCTCATCTGGTTGCTGAACGCTTCCTGAGACATATTTCACCCTGTGGGTTGTCCGCCAGCTGTTCGCTTTGGCCGTCTCTTCCACGGTTCGCTGTCGGGGATGTGTGATTGGTCACCCCAGTGTTTCTGCTCTGATGGGTGAGTGAATCTCTTCAAATTAAGAGGAGGGAAATCAGAGATATCAAGGTGGCGATAGAAACACTTTTCCTATGAACATTTGCACAGACACCTGTCCACCTCTCCTGGTGAGACTGTTTTTCTTTCTGCAACCATTCATGAGAACAAGAAAAATCACTTGTACTAATGATAACAGAAAACTAATACAAAGGGTTGTTGATTTTTTTATTAAATTAATACAGTATTTGCAATTTTTTCTTCAGTATTTTCCCAGTTCTACTCAAATGTATGTTAATGTAAGTTGTTCCCCTATTCCTCTACATGATGATCCTTTTTAACAATATATATGTTGGGGATGGATTATATAATGTGTGTGTATTGGATGTGTATTGCTATACGTGTGTTAATGCATGTACATAGGTACATATATTTGTAATATACCAATCTCATGATACCTAGGTATAAGTGTAAAACATATATTATGTGAATTGCAATTAGAGAGAGACCCAAGCTGAACATTTCAGAATCAGATTCCTAACACCGCAAAGTTTTGGAGCATTTGGATCTAGAGTTTTAGGTTGATCCATTATAACGATAGTGAGGAGGGGGTGTGAAATGTGGATTCTAGTTAGGAATTTGCAACTTCATGGGTGGCCATACCTGGGGTTTTGTTTCAAGCCTATCACTAGCTTTAATGTGTATTATTCAATTCAGTTTTGAACACCTGCTTTTGCTTTTTCCTTCTTCTTTAACTGGTTTCTTATCAGTGGCTGTTGCAGCAGCTGATTCTGGAGGGCAATGATCCTCTTGAACTTTGATTGGGCGTAAGCAGCGGTTTGTGGTGATCAGCTTTTCCTATTTATGCTGTTTCTGCCTAAGCAGAGAGATTCTTGTATGGTACTTTGACTGACAAGGATTTAATAGACTTTCCATAGGCAAATCTATCTTCATGTGTTTTCCCCCAGAGCTTTGGATGCATCAAACCCTCAAGCATTTTCCAGTAAGTAGGTGCAGATAGATGTGTTAAATTAAGAACTTCTTGTTGGTACAGCTCTGATTTTTATAAAACTGAGTATAGCTAGGTTCACCAGATAGCAAGTGTGAAAAATCGGGACGGGGGTGGGGGGCAATAGGCGCCTACATAAGAAAAAGCCCCAAATATCAGGACTGTCCCTATAAAATCAGGACATCTGGTCATCCTAAGTATAACGCTACTGAAGAGACAGTTATTAAGACCTTCCCTCTATTTTACAGACTATAGACTAAACTTTCCCTGGAGTAATTCCACTGAAGTCAATGGGGTTTCACTGGGGATGGCTCTGGCTCTAACTTAAAAAAACTCAGGAGATATAGATGAATACAAAGAGGGGAAGCAAAATACAGAAAGCTATAAATTGTCCTTCTCTTAAATTTGCTTGTAGAAATAGACACTCTTAATAACCATATGTTAAAGGTTTTTAAATATTTGTATCCCACAAGGAGAACATCGAGGTAAAGTCCAGCATACAATTTTGAGAGGGAATTAACGAAGTTATTCAGTATCAGACAAACTTTGCCAGGGCTTCACATTCAGAGTTAAGCAAAAAGCCATAAAGACCCCAATAAAATAGTAACTATTAAAAAGGAGAATTCATAGCAATTAGAGATGAAGTTTTCAAGATGTAGCATGGTTTATTTGTTTAGCATTAGGGTCATGAACTGGTATGTTTCTTATCAGCAAGTGGAAGTGTGCTGTTCCAGCATGTTCAGAGCTGTCAAGTGCTCAGTTTTTCAGGAACTGAACAGGGACTCAAGTGTATGAACTCCAGAGCTGCTCATACACATTTTGCACTTCAAGCAGAGCATCCGTAACCAGCATTATGTTCGTGTTAGTTATTTCTTGAGGTTTTATGCATTTGGGTTTCAAGCTTTTTCAGAGGCCTGAAATTGCAGAATGAAAGCATTTCAACAGAAAATGTTTCTTTGATTTTTTTTTTATCTGAACCAGTGATGTGTTGTATAAAAACCTCAATTATATAACATTAAACCAGGAAATTTGAAGACTGATGCTTGCTCCATGTCCAATGCATAGGTATGACAAGACAGATTGGTGGTGGCGGTTCCCAGTGGGTTTTTTTGGCCAAGATCAGAGTTGCATCTTGTTCTAATAAAAACAGACTTTAAACATCTAGATAGAAGGGTTAAACAGCATGTTAAATAGATTTTGTAGAGGATACTAAATTAAAGGGACTCAAAAATACCAAGTGTCCTATAGAGTTTAGAAATATGGACAGGAAATAGCAAAATTAGAATCAGCCTTGAAAAACTGAAGTTAATACTAATATTATTTTTCTAAAAGGAAAAATAATCAGTCACTGAAAAGGCCGAGTCCTGGAAAGAAATGATAACAAAAGGAAACATACAGGTCTTAAATTGTTAAGAAACAAGCTTGCAGAGAGCTAAGAAAGACGAGAAGAAAAGATTGATAAGATTTTTGCAGTGTGGTCAGAGGCATCATTGTGGAGCAGATGAAAATGGTTCTTTTCTTTAAAGTTCAGGTTATTCTACGTATTAGGGATGAAATTCTGGTAAAACTTCCATTGATTTCATTGGGGCCAGGATTTCACCCTAGGCCCTAGTCTTGCAGTACTAACTCAGGAAAAACTCCCATTGATTTAGACGAGAATGTTGTCAGCAAAAGGACTGTAGAATCAATCCATTTGAATACTGTGTTTAGTTCTAGGTCTTTCATTACCAGAAAATATATTTGAACTGGAAACAGTTCAGAGAATAGTGACAAAATGGTGACATGCTGAAAAGAATGGCTAAACATTAGGGAAAGAATTAAAAGAACTAGATTTGTATAATGTGATTAGAGGGAGATGGGCATGAAAACAGTCTACAGTTATTTAAAGGGTAAAAAAACCATGCTGAGTTGTGCCTTTGAGGCATAACCATGCTGTAGAGGGGTTTTTTTGTGGGGGAGAGGGGCTGGGAGGAGGAAGAAGGGCATGATGGAAACCTTAGGCAAATTCTTGCTGACTCAGCCAGAATTCCTCCTAGGGTTCTGAAGGAGCTCTCGCTGAAGCTTCACCATGGGTACGTCTTCACTACCTGCTGTATCGGTGGGTAGCAATCGATTTATCCGGGATCGATATATCGCGTCTTAACGAGATGCAATATATCGATCCCCGAATGCGCTCACCGTCGACTCCGGAACTCCACCAGAGCGAGCGGCGGTAGTGCAGTCGACGGGGGAGCCGCGGCCGTCGATCCCACGCCGTGTGGACCCCAGGTAATTCGATCTAAGATACTTCGACTTCAGCTACGCTATTCGCATAGCTGAAGTTGCGTATCTTAGATCGATTCCCCCCCCCAGTGTAGACCACCCCCATGTCTCATAACCAGAGTTGGCTAGGGCAAAGTTGGGAATATCCTAGAATATTAGGGTTGGAGGTCATCCAGTCCAACCCCCTGCTCAAAGCAGAACCAACCCCAACTAAATCAAATGATAACAGAAGATAAATGACAAGGATTTGTGCAGATTGATTTGTTTTTCATGAGAGGTCATAACTCAAAGTAAAACAAACACACGGCTTCAAATGACACAGTGCTTAAGTGTATGTATACAGTACACACCATAAAGCATACCTATTATTTATGGGTGTATCTGTCACAAGTTAGCAACATAGTCTGGGGTAAGAAGAGAGCCAACTCTATTTTTTTTTTCTCATATCATCCTTAACACTGATTGGGTCACTTCCTCAGTTACTCCTGGGGGAATTCTGCACCAAAAAAATTAAAATTCTGCGTACAATATTTTAAAATTCTGCACATTTTATTTGTCAAAATAACAATATAATCACACCAGCTTCAATTATTTTGGTAATTTATTTCAAAATACTTGTCAGCAACTATGTCTGTAACAATACAGACAACAAAAAAGATCCAGGAAATGGTTTTTTTTTTTTTGGTCAAATAGATTCCTTACTAGTCATATTAATACAGAATTCTGAGTAATACATCTAAACTACAATACAGAAATGTATTTCCCGCACCCTTCTGAAGCAGTGCAAAGGCTTGGCTGAGTCGGGGTAATGGAGGACCTGAGGGAAAGGGAAGGAGCCTAGGTGTGAACTTGGAGGGTTGTTGGATGTAGGCAGAAGTATGGAACAGGGTTTGGGGGTTTATAGTCCTGCAGAGTTCTTGTATTTAATAATGTTTTTGACGACCCAAGTAGTAGTCATTAACATTTTTAATGGATTAGCTTTGGATTCTTTTATACTATCTATGCTGCTTTGGGGTTCGCTCAGGCCAGTAAGGGGTTGAGTCAACACCTGCCTTGCAGCTCTGGGTGTCTTAAATGTTCTGCTGCTGTGGTTCCCAGCTCTGACACTAACAGCCAGTCTTACAAGCATGCAGGTCACACCCTGGCTTCCACCATCCAGTTACTCTTTGCAGGCGGACCTCAACAACCCTTTCAGCCCTGAGTTCTTGCCCCACAAAGTCTTCTTACTGTAATTCTCGCAAAACCTTATCAAGTTTGCTGCTCCTCTAAAAGACAGCACACAGCAGCTGATTACCTTTATCTGAGGTTAACCGGCACTCTTTCAGTCAAAGCACTGAGTTGGTTTATAGTAAAAGTAAGTTCACTGACAAAAGGAAATAGGTTAAAGTGATATCAAGTATAAAGAATTAAAATAGAAATGGTTAGAAACAAACAAAAGTAAAAACACACTTCTCAGACTAAAACTCAACTTAGCAAACTAGAGTCTTTTGTTCAAAGAAGTTTTTCTCAACACAGTAATTCTTCCAGCATGGCTAGCCCATTCTTTAGCCATGACCCAGCTCACTGAGCAAAAAGTGCTTGGTTTCTTTGACTCCTAAGGTGAAGGGTAGCTTAGGGGTTCTGTCCTCTTCTTTTTATAGTCCAGTAAACTTTTGAAATGTATTCTTTGAGACATAAGCCCCAGACAAAGTTTTCTCTTCACCTGGTTAGCTTTGTTTATCTTATATGTAAATATACCTTTTCTCTGCCTGATGACCAGGCTGGTCACACAAGCAAATACACATTCCTTTGTCTAAGGCAGACTGGGCTTAAGCATTGCTTGACAAACACATTTTAGAATGTAATTCTAGCACCTATTTATAACTGTTTGTACTCATCCCATACACACCACTGTGACATAGAGGCCTATTGGTGGTTCATTCTTCTGTGTCAGCAACTTCTGAGTCCTCAGCACTTCAGAAAAATAGGCCTGGAGCCTCTCCTGTCAGGCCTTTAAAATTAATGGCTCCTTTGGAAAGAGGTTGGCTTAGCTGTATCCAGAAGTGAGATAATTGGAATATTTGCTGATTTGTTCTGTTAGGTCTGAAGTCTTGCATGAAATATTGTCACTGGAATTTAAAGGATCAGAGTAGCTAGGCCTTCCAATTTAAAAACAAAAACAAAAAAACTAAAAGGAACATAGATTATATTAGGGCATTTGTTCTCAATGAAGTTTGTGAGCTGGGGGTGAAAGGCTCATTGCTTAATGGCAAAAGGTTTATTCCTCAGCAGTTCAGGTCTTTAATGCTACAGCTTTAAATTCGTCATTGATCCTGGTGTATCTCAAAGGAGGGGGATGAGTTGAGACATCTCTCTTGGTGACGTGGACAGAATGGTGCTTGTGGTACTCCAGAGCAAATGGAGACTGAGATGGATTTACTATATTTCTTCAAGTTTGGCAAGGATATAAACTCTTGTGCTTCAGGGTATCATCCAATAATGGGGATAGATCTGATTGATGGGCGGAGAATAGTGAAAAAGGTCCTCCAGGGACAGGTGATCCCAACCTGTGTTTGGCTGGATTTCTTGCACCTCTCTGTGAAGCCTCTGGTACTGACCACGGTGGGGCAGAGTCCTGATCTTCTGTAGCAATGCCTACGTTCTTCCATTCCAAGGAGGAATCCATAGGTATGGTCTGATATTGAAGACTAGAGCTGGATTGCTCTTAAACAAAATCCATGGCCAGACAGCTAAATCTCCCCTCACCAACTGAGTATTCTGTCATGTCCTTAAAGAGGCAGGATTGTCTGGATAAATTTTTCCTTGTGTGTCCTCAAATCAAAAATTTGATTAGTGGAATATGTTCATCTTCTGGGACCTGAGAGTCACAAAAATCTTGAAGATTTAGTGGAAAATGTAATCTATTTATCTGCAGTTCCTGCAATATCAAGCCATGGTACATCCAGGGGATTTTATATAAGATTGGTAATATGGAGTGCAGTGTCAGTTACCTCAAACCATTAGATTCTTGTACTGAATTAATGGTTTGTGCATTAATCTCTTCATATCACACATGAGATTCCTGACTCCTGCAGATGACTTTGGAGTAGTGTCATTTGTCTACATGGGCAGAATGGACTCAGGTGTGTTTTCAAGACCCTTTCCTAACAGAAAGCTTTTTAGCCATAAGTAGAATGATTTTTAAAGTAGAAAATACACCCCCAACAGAATTTCTTTAAATCTGAGCAGCATAAAATGCCTTCCCTCAATGTTAAGGCACAGAACATCATTGAAGTCTATGGAACTGTGCTGATATACACTGGCTCAGCATCTGCCCCTTGAGTTTTACAAAGGAATATTCATTTGTTAAAGAAAGGGAAAGGCAAAGCTTTTTTGAATAAAAACCAAACAGCCCCAAATTCAGAGGCTATGAATAATGAACTGATTATTGGAATGACATCAGAAACTTTAACATGCATTTGTAAAGTTAATGGTGTCAGCCAGCCACAGGTGGCACTGTAGCACCGACAGACCCCGGTCGTCAGTGGGCGGGATCGAACCTGGGATCTCTGAAGCTTAGTGCATGAGCCTCTACTGCATGAGCTAAAAGCTACCTGGCCCTTAGAAATTAATGAGTTTGCTACAGCATTAGCTAAGTGGTCTCAGTGCCACTAGAGAGGACCGAACACCACACGCAGGAGGTGTGTGGGTTACAGTATCATCTTTCTACAGCCATTATGGTAGCAGGCTTCAATGAAACCTGACATGACCTTCCAAGAACTAACGATCAGCAAGACATTTCTTTGATCTTGCCTTTTCTAACAAACCTATAGCAACAGGTATATTTATATTTTAAGACGCACCCTACCAGACCAAGACACTTCACTGCACATGCTTCTTCCTTTGGGGAGAGGAATGAGAGAATAAGCACTACGTGAGAGATGAGTCACGTGCCTTAATGCACTGCTGGAAGGCGCTCAGATACTATAGTGGTGAGCGTGTTATAAAAACCTCTATCGAATAGACTTTACAGAGCTCCATCAAACCCCCAAGTCTTTGCCCCAGGGTGAGATGCAACACTTTGTTTAGGCTCGCCAATAACTATGAGCTCTTGGATTCCTTCTGCTGACCTGTCTCCTGGCTGACCTGCCTCTGGTGACAGTTCCATTTCAGAAGGCAGTTTTGCTGAGGGAAATATCATTCCCTATCTTTGGAAGTATTCTTTTTCTCTTAATTTATGTGACTGGTTCCTGTGGGGATGAGTGCCTGAGAAATCTGTAATGAGTATTGTAACTCCATAGTTGCTCTAATAAAAGTTATATTACAACTCAATACAGGGTGACAGGCATTAATGGCACTATCATCAGGAGATAAAGCGATGACGTTAATATGTATCAGAGGAAGTACAAAATTTCATGAGTCTTATTTTCAGTATAGGACTTATATGTTCCCACAAATTGCCCTGTAAATACCCACACCTTCACCTGGAAATTCTAGCTACTGAACTATCTCTAATGAGGCAACATTTTCTTTGAGGAAGGACAAATATTTGTAGACTTTGTCAAAGAAGTGTATTAAGGAGGGGCATGGAGAAGGGGGTGGACGCATGGGATTTCAGGTCAGGGACGGAGTTTCGTCATAGGTGGCTGAATGGCAGAAGACCTTATGGACAAGAGTTGGAGGAGGAAAAACAGATGGGCTGGGGGGAGGTTAATGGGCGGGTGGGGGACCCCAAAACCATCACTGCATAGTAACCACCTCAGGATTTATGCAGCACTGATTTTCCATAAGTATTGTAATTTGGTCATTAGCATTGTAGAATTAGTCATGGCGGCCCATTTCCTCATCTGGTGCAAAATGGAATCACCCCATTGACTCCAGTGAAGCTACACTGACTTGTACGAGCTGAGGATCTGGCCCTATTTTCTACTTTGCAATTTTAATAGAAAAGCTGTAAGTTAGTTACAATTTGAAAACCCTGAACCGCCTACTTAGCATCCCTTCAATGAACCCTGCTGACTACTTCAGTGACGCACGTCAGCAACATTAAAATGTGTGGTGGTGGATGAAATTTGATTAAAACATGCAAAGGAGGCAGTGTGATGGTGGATTAAAATGTGTTCCTCTGCTGCAGCTAATGTTATGCTTCGTGCACAGCTCAAGAGGTCACAGGCAGCTGATGAGTGTGAGCCAGCCTGGGGTTTGTCGCTACGGTTCTAAGCTCGAGTGCTGCTATGGCTGGAGAAAGAACAAAGGGCATTGCGAAGGTAACATTAGCAAATAACCATTGACATCTTCATGACTGTGTGCTTAGCTTTTAATAATGTGGCTCCTTATGGGCCCACCAGAGGTTATAGGAAGCAGAACAAGTGAGGATTCAATATACTGTAGGAGCATGAAGAAAATAAGTGTTTTTTAGAGAGCATCCCTTTAAAAATGCAGAATTGGATAAACAGAAGCACCCAGTTAAATAGATTCATAACTTTAACACCAGAAGGGACCATTAGGATTATCTGGCCTGACCTTCTGCATAACACCGAAAGATGAGAATTGGAGAATGCCTGTACCAAGATAGCCATCAAAAATTAGAACAAGATCCAAAAAATCAGAAATGCAGACTGTAATCACTAAAACTATATTTACAGACAGATGCTTTTCATTAAGTAGCAGCCTTTATCTTCAGATTCTCTGGGAAGCAATAGTTTCCACCCTTCTAAAAAGAGAATAAAATTCAAGCAACAAGTCCATCTGAATAGAACTTATGTTGCCAGCCAGTATTCTGGTCCCTGGGGAGCTGGTTTCATGAAGGATCAATGGCTTTTAAGAGGCTTCCAATCTGTTAAGGGCATACAAATGCTAGGAAGAGGGTAATATGAAATCTCTCCCCAGCTGTATTTAGGCAAAGCACAATGAACTCATAAAATGCCAGACTTTAGGAGGAGTCAATTTCTTAGCGCTGACTATCTGTCGAAGTTTAATAAAGGTTCAGTGTATAATTAATAAAAATCAGTAGACTGCCGTCTAAAAGGGACTGATGCTCAAAAACCTTTTCTCCTTATAATTGTATTAATATGCTTTTCAGATAGCAATGCTAGTTTAAAAAAAAAAAACTTGAGCAAAGGGATTCCTTAATAATTTTGCATTGTTTGTATAGTTCTAGTTCTGGTGCTAAAGAATACACAGAGGTAAATATGGCAATAAGCAAAAGTAATTTGGATGAGCAAATGCAACTAGTCACTTTTTCCCCCAAAAAGCATTCAGATGACCTCCTATTGGTGTCCAGTTTTCACAAGTTCTTGAAATTCTTCACCTGGCAGATTTCTGGTTTGAGTCAACCAGGATGTAAATCTAAACTGTAAATAAAGATGCAGTAGCTCCTCACTCTCGGTGAGGATTTTTTTTTTTTATACTCATTTGATTTCACAGTGTGCAACTTTTCATTCAGGGTTTATGTCAGTTTAGGTACGGTGAAATTCTTCATTAATTTGAAGTACGAGGTGATTTAAACGCAAAGGATTAATACATTTAATAAATGTTTAACAAATTTTTAAAGAACTTAAAAAAGAGACCAAAATTCCATTGTGCTAATTCTGGCAAATTCTAAATTGTGGCTTTCCTATGTGCTTTAACTGGTAATACAGGTACACAAGAGAATTGGGACAAGATCCTATAAACTTTGTGCACATCTCCAGGGCTCCTAGGTGCTATGGTAATGCAAATAACCAACAGCAACAATATCCCACTGACTTCAGCAGGAGTTACTTGTATCTATGCATTGCACAATTAGGTCTTCAATTTAAAAAAGAAAATGTGTCATACTGGAGAATATCTGCTTTTGTAAAATATTTTAGGGTCTCATGTTCAAGATACAATGCTCTGATTCTCGATTACTGTATACCATTTTATGAGCTCCTCTGGAAAATAAAATAACAGCTTTGTAGCAGGGTAAGAAACTTGTAAAGCACTGGGGAAATAGGTGTTTCACAACAGACTTGTGACAAATCAGTTAAGTCCTGATTTACCAAACAAAAATCCACATTCCCCCAGACTACTCATAACCACTGTTCTGAGCACCAGTGCTAGTTTAGGTCAAATTTTTCAAACTTGGGTGTCCAAAGTTAGGCATCTAAATCTTATTTAGGCCCTTAAGTAGTCTGGTGCTCAAAAACTCCGGGGGGAAAAAAACAAGGTATTTATTTAGGCGTCTAGACAAGAATTTAGGTGCCTAACATTGAACACACATTTGAAATGTTTGCTCTTATTTTTTATTGCTTTAGCAAAAAGGGAAATTGGAGAGATAGACTCATAGACTTTAAGGTCAGAAGGGACCATTATGGTCATCTAGTCTGACCTCCCGCATGATGCAGGCCACAAAAGTTGACCCACCCACTTTCCCTTAACTCAGCTGTTGAAGTCTCCAGATCGTGATTTAAAGACTTCAAGTCGCAGAGAATCCTCCAGCTTGCGACCCCTGCCCCATGCTGCGGAGGAAGGCGAAAAACCTCCAGGGCCTCTGCCAATCTACCCTGGAGGAAAATTCCTTCCCGACCCCAAATATGGCGATCAGTAGAACCCCAAGCATACAGGCAAGATTCTCCAGCCGGACCCTCATTTTACCAGCGATGGCACGTTATTGCCTAATTGACTAAAATCACGTTATCCCCTCAAACAAGATCTAGATCTTGAACAGCAAAAGCTGACATTCTTACAACCCACTAGCTCATGGATACCAAAAATGTTAAGATGGCAGTTTTCCAGTTCTGCAGTGCTTAGTGGTGTACAATATTGGATGCACTGAAAATTAAGCCATAATGGTTAGTGAAATATTAAACAGTTAAAAGTCTGGGTATATTTTAAAGTACTGGTTCATTAAGTCTTTTGCATGCTGTGTAGCACTTACTGATGTTAGTAATCACACTGAATTTCTTGCTCATGTGAGCAGGTTTTTTAAAGAAGTGCCAAGCCCTCAGAACAATTTGGAAGTAGTAGAAAGAAGGGCACCCACCTACTGGCTAATAACGTTCTGGGTTGTGAATTAAAAAGCTTAAACTCATAAATGTTCAGGCTTAACAGGTGGAAGAGGTATCGTAATTTATAATCCGCTCTAGTGCGCTTCATGTTTCTCCCAAAAGAAACCGCTTCCGAGCAAAAGATATAAAGCACAACTTAGTAACCACCATGCACAAGCCAGAGGCAAGGTTATAGATAAAGGTGAGGCTAGAATCCAGAGGTGAATCTAGCAAGTAGGTTGGGGGCACTGAATTAGGTAGGCAATATTTCACCTTGAACAGGACAAAGCAAAGGTTTTTGGTTTTATTTTTACACCTGCACCCCCACACAGGGAGAGAGTACTTAGAGTATGGACTAGATATGCTCCTGAGTCTCTGATGGCTCTACACACTCACTCACTCACTCTCCTACCTGGGAGCTTCTATGAAATTCCTGGCAGGAGTTCGAGCTATTTGGCCTGACCTTCCTTAGAGTGAGTCAACCTTGTGTGGAGGACCTTGGTGATGGAAGGAGTAATTTTAAATTCCCCCCTGCCAGTAAATCTAGCCAAATTGTTTGGTATTCTTTTAAAAGAAAAATGTAACCCTCAGCATGGGATGGGACATACAACTGTCCAGTCCAAAGACATTAGAAAGCATTTAGTTAGTAATTTAGAATCCAGGCCTAAATTTTTGCTCTCTTTGCATACCAGGATGCACAAGTGTATTTGAAGCTGTCTTGACATCATTAGTTTCTCCAGTATGCTCATACTATATGGGAAGACTTTAAATACTGTGTGTGCTTTACCATTAGACGTTAAACATCTTACTACTGCATACAGAAAGATATTGTGCTACATGGGCATTGTGTCAGACAGTCACTGCAATTCTCGGGTGGCATGTCAGACCCCATAATTAGAAAATGTTCAGACACAACAGAAAAATTCTGTGCCAATTCAATCTTTATGTAATCTGATTTCCAAGGGAACTGCATGGGGTCTAAATCAATTGGCAGAGAGTCTGACTCTGCTTATCTACAGTAACCTGAAGCTGCTCTAGAATGGCTTAGAAAAGAAGACAATTCAGCAGTATTCTATAGAGATAAAGCCTCTCTGGAGAAGTCCATAAGTGGAACTCCAGAGTGGGTAGAAAAAGGAAGGAAGAGGCATGGACAAAGGACAGTGAGGGGGAATTCAGAGGAAAAGGGAGAAAAGCTCAGACATTACAACTGACTCTTGGGTTTTAAAATGCTAAATAGATCTCTAATACAGCACTTACGAACACATGATAATGAACGAATGTAGATGAGTTTGAGACTTTTTTTGAGAGATGCACATTTTAGTTCCAAATTTCTAAGCTTCTAACAGCCTTACATATTTCCATTCACCTGCTCCCCCACAGCAAGTACACTCTTTGAATGGATGAGCAGAAACATGTACTGTGATGTAGCAGAACCCTGGCAGCTGCCTTAGACTGCAGCTCTATTCTTCCAGTGGCTCCACGCTCTCCTACGGTCAAGCTCCATTGTGCTGAGGGACAGGGAAAGTGCTAAAGAGGAAATTGATGCAGCCTCTTACTGATGCAACCCCATTTTTGGCAGGGGGAAAGAAAGTGAGGGGATTGTTCTGGAGGGGACGAAGGAAGAAAGCTATGAGATTCCTTTCAGTGCATACAGCTCTTTGTAAGCCAATGGCAGCACCATCTCCCCTTCCTTTCCCTTCAGCCCCAAAGCCCTGCCAACCTCTTCTGCCTGCAACGCTACTCTCTTCTGCTCCACATCAGTGCCAAATTCCTTCTTTTCCCTCCCATGCTCATGCTTAGCCAGTATCTTCCTCCTGCTCCCCACTCAACAAAAATTTACCAGTGCAGACAGAGCAAGCTATCTGTGCTGCCTTGAGTTTTGTCCTGTTCAATTAAAATGTCCTCTAGGTATCATGGAGTGATGCAGATTAAAGACTTTGACAACTTTAGTTCACACTAGGTTCTCTTGTAATGCAGAAATGTCTCTACCTTCCAGCAACAACATCTTTAATTTCTCTCTGTTTTGCCCTCCAGCCACCTGTGAACATGGGTGCAAGTATGGTGAGTGCGTGGGGCCAAACAAATGCAACTGTTTTCCTGGATTTACAGGGAAAACCTGCAGTCAAGGTTTGTACACATTATAGTTCTTCTCCAGAAAAGAGACTTTGATCATTGACAATCTGTCTCCTTGTCTTCAGCTCCCTATGGAAAAGTGTGTGTGTGGGAGGGGAAATCTCAGCCATTTGTTTGCAGCTACAACTTTAACTGACTTAGGAATTCTGAATTGTCATGGATGATTAAAGGATAAATATGGAAACTAAAACAGGTAATAGTCTTCAGTGAAAACGTTCTACTTACCTGTTCCCTCAACAAGCATCTTTCTTCTAGATACTGTACTTATCTATAGTACTTACATGGCCCCCATCGCTCTAGTATCGGAGTGCCTCACAATCCTCCATGTATTTTTACTGACGGTACTCCTGTAAGACAGGGCAGTGCCATTAGCTCCATTGTACAGAGGGGGAACTGAGGCACAGAGCAGCTAAGTGACTTGCCCAAGGTATGTCAGGACAGCTGGGGCAGAGCAAGGAATTGAACCTAGGGGTTTCCCAGGTCCTAGGCTAGTGCCCAAGCCATTGAACCATACTTGGTCTTCAGTATCTTTACAGTATATAAAATCCACTTAAAGTGCAAGTGTTCAGTGTTCTGAATCCCTCCTGTACATTTCCTTTCTTCTGCTCATGCAGCCAGGATTTGGGGTGTATGTTGTTGGCTGTCCTATATCTTTGGTCAGAATATCGGATGTATGCAAACAGTTTTTGTATTGTTTATAGTTAGGGTTGCCAGGCATCCAGTTTTCGACCAGAATGCCCGGTCAAAAAGGGACCCTGGCAGCTTTGGTCGGCACTGCTCACGGGGCCATTAAAAGTCTGGTCGGTGGTGCAGCGGGGGTCTGGGGCTAAAGCAAGCTCCCTGTGGCTCCCGGAAGCAGCCCTGGGGTGCATGGGAAGCCAGAGAGGCTCCATGTGTCCCCACCCCAAGCGTCGGCTCCGCAGCTCCCATTGGCCGGGAACCACGGCCAATGGGAGCTGCGAGGGTGGGCATAACGGCAGCACGTGGAGCCTCCCTGGCCGCCCATGCACCTAGGGGCTGCAGGGACCTGGCGGCTGCTTCCTGGGAGTCACAGTAAGCGCTGCTGGGACCCCGCACACCCCCTGCCCCAGCCCTGAGCCCCCTCCTGAACCCCAAATCTCTCATCCCCAGCCCCATACTCAGAGCCTGCACCCCAGCCAGAGTCCTCCCCCTCCCCTGCAGCCCAACCCCCTGCCACAGCCCAGAGCCCTCTCCCGCACCCTGAACCCCTCATTTCTAGCCCCACTCAGAGCCCATACCCCGGCCACACAGCCCAAACCCCTGCCCCAACCCCCATCCCAGCCTGGCACCCTCTCCCTCACCCCAAACCCCTCATCCCCAGCCCCACCCCCAGCCAGAGCCCGGTGAAAGTGAGTGAGGGTGGGGGAGAGCGAGCGACAAAGGGAGGGGGGAACGGAACGAGTGGGGACGGGGCCTCGGAGAAGGGGCGGGGCAGGGGTGTTCGGTTTTGTGCCATTAGAAAGTTGGCAGCCCTATTTATAGTACAGTACTGCCAAAAGGTCTTGATCAAGATCCCATCATGCTAGGCACAGTGCTTAAGCATAGTAAAAAAACATAATCCGAGAGTTTATAGCCAGAATAGACATGAAAGAAAGGAAGCATTATAAATTTGCACCCCTACTAGTTCAAAATAGCCCAGGCACACTTCAAAAGAAACATGTTTGAGAGGATTTGTGGACAGGGCTGAGAGCATGCTTCCCACTACAATTAAGGGGTGGAAATGAGTTCTCTAGATGGTAGGCTTGCTGAGTTCCTGCTCAGAATTATTTTCATGCTGTTGAAATTTTATTGTAGTATAGGTTAGGGCACCTAGAGTCTTGTATAGGCATCTTACTAATTAAATAAATTATCTTCCCCATTTTATGGATGGAGAAATGAGATGCAGAGTGATTAGAGACGTCCCCAAAGACCCACAAGAACTTCTCATAAACAGGAATTGAACCCAGAAATCCCACTCTAGTTCCTTGACCACAAGTTTTTCTTCTGAACTGACTTGATGGACACTTCACAATTTACATGGGCAAATACCCTTTGTTTGTACATGCTAATTTGAATTTTTGAGAACTCCGAAATTAGGGCATCCAAACTTGTACATTCAGAAACTTGAGTGCATAGTTTTGGCTTCATAAGTTTACAGGTAGCCTTTGAAAATTTTGAAAAGGGAATATACTGTTACTTTTCACAGTGTTTTTAGGCTCTGCTTTAAAATGTTAAGCAATCAGATTAAAAGGACACTGTCAACTTTGAATATTAACAGTTTGCAAAAAAAGTAAACAGTCCAATTTCTGAGATCACTGCAGAACATTATTTGAAGGGTGCTATTAGAAAAACCCTTCAGAAAAGCCCTCCAATTTTTCTTCTTCCATGTTGACACTATTTATAAGGAATTTTCAGCAAGGAAAAAACTAACCGACTGACTCTAGAGGAAATGATAAAATTGACTATATGCAATGGGTAAAAATTTCTAAAGCACCTAAGTCCCATTTTTCATAAGAGGCTAAGAATCACTGAAAGGCAATAGGACTTAGGCTCCTAAGTCACTTTGGTAACTTTGAAAAATGTGTCCATTGTCTAGTTGAATAAACAAATTTCTGCTCATCTTTGTTACAGTAATCCTGGCTGTTACATGGAACTGTAGTAGTTACAAAACTTTCAGTTGTAATTTCCAAATTGGTGTGTCTCTAAAGATGTATGAAACAACAATATTTTGAGTAATATCATGTTTCCTTTTTTTGTTGGAATGGGCTCTGACAAATACTTTTGCAGACATATCACTACCCAGACGGTTTGCTCTTTGTGGCCTGGAGATTTTCCTCTGGCCTGCAGGCCACACTGACACATGAACAGATGCTGAGACCATTCGAACTGGAATTGAGCCCACTCAGCCCTCTGAGATGTTTTTTTTATTGAAATCACATTACTGTGAACACATGGTGTGTGGACTATGTGCAGTGATGTGTTTTGTTAATGAACTCTTCAGTATTTGATAAACAGGTTTCAAAATAGTGAAAGAGGAGCAGTTGCCAAACAGTTTATGAAAGTCACAAATGCAGATACTGTTCACATATAACAGGGAGTGTAGCCTCCATTGTCAGCACTGTATTCCACTCCAGGCAAATTAAATTCAGCTAGGTGATTTCCTTCTCTACAAAAGCTGGTTCCTGGGCAATTAAAAACTAATATTGTTTCTTTCTTGCTCTTTTCAGGAGTAGTTTAAAAAAAAAAAGTGGGTAAACTAACCTAAACTCCATATTCCCCAAATGAGAAGTGGGTTTACCCTCAGCTACACTGATACTTTTCAGATTTTATTGACAGGTTGAGTTTTGAGAATGGTAAAGAACTCAGCTGCATGAGGTTTTTTTGGTTTGTTTGTTTTGTTTTGTTAAGGAAACAGACAATTCTTAACATATGATCACCTCTGTCTCCCTTAACGATTTGCTCTTGCCACGACATCACAGCTGATGCTTAAGCCCGTGAAATCTTTTAGTCCTCTTTTCCCCGTGCTGTGTGACTGACTTGTTTTCACTTTTTTTTTTTTATGAATGTCAGATGGGGCACTAAAGTCTCTAGCTAGAATAATAAAAACCCTGCTGTTAGCAAATATTGTAATTGCAGTTCTCTCTCCCCTTGCAGTCTGCCAGAGGTTGCACTGCAGTCTGTCAGGTGCAGCCGGCTCTCCTTGCTAGTTTTTATAGCACTCACTTAGGCAGATGGTCTGCTGAATTCCTTTCTTGCAAAGGGTTGGCTCATTTTCTATCCCAGGGCTTTTACTTTGGGGAATTTTAGGCATGACGCAACATTATAACCATATATTTAAAATAACAAAAATCTCTGCACTCATTTCATTCAAATTATTTCTGCAGATACAAATGAATGTGGATTGAAACCACGTCCCTGTAAGCATAGATGTATGAACACCCATGGCAGCTACAAGTGCTATTGTCTCAATGGCTACATGCTCATGCCAGATGGCACGTGTGCAAGTAAGTAACACATATCGCAGGACAGGTAGTAATTTAGATACACAGATTATCCAATCAGTATCTTATCACAAATGACTCCTGTGTAATGATGGCTGGCAGCTAGTTTCTGTGACAGGGTATCTCTCTCAGGTTCCTAGTGCTGTCAACACTAAAGGATGTGCTCTCCTGTGGCTGTATTTTTAAAGGGATAGATTAAACTAATCTAGGGTACAGTTGTGTTTTTAGGGGAATGTTAGTCCTTAAAAATAAAATCATTAGACAGTTCTACAGGCTTAGTTCAAATGTAGGTTAGCTTGCATAGCCTCTGTCCACAACTCTGCTAGTGCACCATATTAGAAAGACAAGGCGGGTGAGGTAATATCTTTTATTGGACCAGCTTCTGTTGATGAGACAGACAAGCTTTTGATTTTACACAGAGCTCTTCTTCAGACCTATGTAAGCTCCAAAGCTTGTCTCTTTCACCAGCAAAAGTTGGTCCAATAAAAGATATTACCTCACTCACCTTGTCTCTCTGATATCCTGGGACCAATATCCTTATTGACTAGGGATGAATGAGCCCAGTACAATAAACTATAGATACAGATTTCAAACTGAATTTTTAGTGAGGTTCACAGTGTTCAGTAAGCTTCTTAAAACATGGGGAAACAGTGTTCTTCCACTTTGGAATGGCCTTTTTCCACCCCAAAGTGAAAGTGCCAATTTAATATCCTAGAAATTACTTTCTAGTGCTCTCTCTAGTTCTGTCTGACACGAGCCAAGCCCTGGTGTTTACAGTACTTCTTTGGAAGACTTTCATACTAATATATCCCACCATTAAGAAACTTTTCCTAATATTTGGCCTCCATTTTCCCATGCATAATTTTATCCTATTACTCCTTGTTATAGTCCTTCGTAGCACCCTGCATCATCTCTTTTCCTGGTGTGTTGTCTGTCTACCAGCTTGTGTCGACAGACGTGCGCTAGCTCAAGTAGAGCTGGCACACTAAAAATAGCCATGTAGTCAGGAGTAGTGCAGGGGGTGGCTCGGGCTAGCTGCCAGAGCACAAACCCAGCCAGAATTCTTGGTACATTCCGTAGTGGCTAGCCTGAGCCACTGCTGACCCCTGCTACACTGCTATTTTTCATGTGCTAGCTCTGCTTGACCTAGCACATGTCTGTCAACCCAAGATGGGAAGCATGCTTCCAGCTGCATTGTTGACATACTGTAATGCACTGGCCACCACCCAAGCATTCCCTTGCCTCCAGCGGCCCTATGCAGTCCCCTGTCCGTTTTCCTCTTCTTCAGGGCTCCGTGAACAAACCCCACATAGTCACAGCCCTTCTTGGTGTCTGGTTTATTTACAACAATAAAAAAAACCCAAATCAGTCTTCCACCCAGCTTTAAGCTAGGCACAGCCCTCCTCCTCCCTGAAGCACTAAGCCATTAATAACCTAGTACCTAAATTTAGTAGTCAGAGTTCCATAGAAATTGTTATACTAGATCGGTCCATCTAATTCAATGTCCTGTCTGAAACAAATCAGTACCAGCTGCTTCATAGAGAGGTGAACATAATGGACAATTAGGAAGTAATCTTCTCATTTGGGAAATTTCTTCCTAATCCTGTGTCACTTAGAAGTTAGTTTTATGTACTGAAGTAAAATGACTTGTGGCCCATCCAATTTTTTTATCATATTTATCTACTGCACCTGTGAATATTCTCATCCATATAAATGTTGAATACTTTTAGGAATCCACCAAGCACTTGATGTCAATGATATGTATTGCTTATCTTCATAGACAAAATTCACTTTCCTGAGTGTTGTTTCTTTAAACCTGTACAAAGGCATCTAGAAGTAATATGTACAATACTGTATGTACAAGACATATTTATAGGTACACATATACCCATATACTGCACAGTTGGCTTGTTTATACAGTGTTGTTGCAAAGAGTTCTGAGAGTGACAGTAAGCAAGCTTTTTTTATTCATACTGTTGCCCCTTTTAACCCACAGTTAGCCAACATTCTGGGTCTTCCAGGTTGTTTAGTGATAGAATCAGGTATTTCTTTGGTGTAATCCTATTTATTTATAAAGAACATACTCTAAAGTCTTGTTTTACTGATTGCAGTAGGAATCAAACAGGAAGAGGTGGTGTCTTTACTCACAGTTCCAAGAGCTATAACTTGATCAACCCCACAGCCCCGGGGCTGGCACATTCCTCACCTCACTCAAGGGTGCAGACAGGCTAGAGCTCCTCAGGTCCCCTGTGTCTAGTTAAGCTTCCAACTCACCCCTTGAGTAGCCTGTCTGTTCTTCTCTCCTTCTCAGCCTAATTTCTAGAGATAAAGATGGGGCTTTCCCAACTCTTCATGGGGTGGGTGGGGGTGGAACTAAACCAGCCCTTCCCCAGCTGGGCTTTGTCTCTAATTAGGCCTGGCCCTCCCAAACAGGTGCAAGCAGGTGGGTTAATTGGTCTCAAGCCCACATGATTACCTTTGGCTAGGAGGAAGTTGATGTTATAGACTGCTGGTTCTGCAGCAAGGTTCTTAGCTGCCAATATGGCTTCTCCTACCCTGTAGGTGAGGGGTGTGCCTTAGGTGCTGTCCAGAGAGAGCTGGGTAAAGCTACTGAGAGGCAGAGGAGGTGGAGAGAGCAGCATGCTTCTCTGGGGGCCCTGCCATAGTTTGGAGCAGGAGGGTACAGTGGGGACCCTGGAGAGCCTGATGGTTTAGAGGAGTCCTGTGGGCTCCCTCAAGGGATGCGGTTGTGAGCGAGGTATTTGGGAAGCAGAGGACAGCAGGATACTAGCACAGTGGCTGCTGGAATTGGAAAACGGCAGGTAAAGCCTGTAGCCAGGGAGCAGCAAGAGAGTGTCTCTAGGGCAAGATCAGTGAGGGAGGATGAGCAGCCAAAGGGAGCTCCAGTAATGGCTGCTAGGGGAGTAGAAGTGAGAGTAGCTGTCACAGGAGTGCTGGTAGCAGCCAAAGCTCTGCAGGCAACCATGGAGGACTATGCACTGGTGACTGCAAGTAACCCAGATGTTAGAGTGCCAAGTGAGAATCCTGCTGGCAGAGTATGCACTGGTAGCTGTGGGGACTGCTGCCAGGGAAGGAGCAGCAAGGAAGGTGAGTCACCTGCTGGTGACTGATGCCTAGAGTGGGCAGCAACAGCTAGAAGTTGGACACACCCCAGGAAGAGGAGTGATGGTCCCAAAACGGTCTGGCAGAGACACTGGTGGCAGTGCCAGAGGGACTGCCAAATGGAGGGCAGTGATATGAAGTCAGGTGGTTGGGATAACAGAGTCATTGTCCCAAGCACAAGGTGAGGAAGAGTTAGCAAGGGGGCAGAAGCCAGTTGTTCCCAATATGGGGCAGGCAGAACAAGCACTGTTAGAGGGAAATGGTAGCATAGTCTCCTTACTGGGTTTCCCAGTATGTGTTCCTGAGGCTGGCATTAGGTGTGGAAATTTAGTAATGGGCAAAGGAGAGGATGGTGCAGTTTCACCTTGGAGCATTGCTGGATCTGAGGAGCAAGGGGGCCTCTCCTTTGCATGGAGCTGGAGATACCAGCAGAGAGATGGGAGGAGGTGAGGGGGACAATAGGGGACTGGGGAGTGAGGGGAACTGCATCTCATGACAGTGCTACTTTGTCTCTCCCCTGTCTCCCTCAAGGGGAGAGAGACAGGGAGTTATGGTGGAGCGTGCAGCAGTTAGCTTGAGATGACCAAGAGGTGAATCAGATGAGGAAGGAGAGGAAAGGGGACTTGGATGGACCAGTTGGACTCTGCTGTCTTGAATTGTAGATCAGGAATCCTCAGAGAACCGGGCCAAAGAGCCGTGGCCATTGATGGGGAGTGCGGTGGGCCTAGTTGGCACAACAAAGTCTATGCCCAAACCAGAACCTTGGGAGCAGCAGGAAGAACAGACCCTGTCAGTCATGCAGCTGCCCAGGAAGAAAAAGCCAGTAGCTTACAGACTGGACTAGTGGTGTTACCCACATACTCGAGGGCACCCACCTTTACCCTTCCTGGGCTCAAGGTGTAACCCTTAATTTAGGCACCAGACCCTTTCCCGTCCTGGGCTTAGGGTATAAGGCATCCACTCTTACCCAGTTCCTAGGGCTCAGGGCGTAATCTGTGGATTTGCAGTACCTTTTACCAGTGAAAGAGCCTTACACAATAATATCCTTAACCTCTAGTTATTAACAATCACCAAAACAGAATGCACATGCTAAGCATATAATGGTCACCACTCCCAATAAAGCAGATGAACTTTTCCTGGTGGTCAGGATCAGGTCATCTGGGGACTCCAGCTTCTGCACAATATAGTTGGTAGGGTGTTGAGGTCTGACAGCTCTGACCTTGGGCTGTGTCCTGGAGTTGGTTCCAAAGAACTTCCTTTTGGACCCCAGTTTATATAGTGAAACTTGAGTCCTGCTTAGCTAGACCTTAACCAAGCATTTTAAACTGAAGTATTACAAAACAGTATTACAATCCTAGCCCATTACGAAACAATTTTTTACCCCATCAGACCCCACCACCTTAGTTGATTTAAATCTTGCAAAATTAGTTCTGCAACAAACAATCAAAGAACCAAACAGAAACCACACAGATAAACAATGGAGAAGTAGGGACCAAAAAGGCAAAAGGATAAAGAAGTAGAGATTTCACAATCACCCTCAAGGATAAGCAATTCCTTGCCAGAGCGAATGCTATCAAACAAAGTTTTCTTTAAACATCTTAAGATCTGTTTCATTGTCTGGTGAGTGGGTGGGTGCTATTGGGACAGGAGCGCCTTCTGAACAGCCTGATATTACATTGTTTTAATGTAATTTAGGTGGAGTATGAGGATGTGACTTTCTGCTTCTTGGTTCATGGCTGCTGCTCTCCTAATACGGCTGCAGAAGAAGGCCTCAGACCTTACAGCAGTGGCTTGCAAACAGCCCTTTGAATCCTGTGCTGCTGCTGTGGGTGGCAATGTGAGGCAAGGACGTAGGCTAGAAAGTGTGGGGCTTGGGATTGATCTGGAGGGTGGGGAGTCATGGGAGGCTGTTTGGGGTGAACAAGTGGGGGCTACAGGGTGGAAATAGCAGAGAAATACAGAGTGCAGTTATGGTTCACAGTGGTGGGTCTGGGTCACCCCATGCTGCAGAGGGATGTATTGGTGAACACACTGATTTGAGGGGTATGCAGTTCTTTTCAGTGAATCTGGTAGCAGTGATCAATCTACCTGCATACAGGGAAATCTATTTGTGCTAATGGTCAAATGAGATAATGGAAAGGTTTTTGGAGGGTGTACGCAAGGGTGCAGGGTAAGAGGGTCTGGCAGCAGGTGGTGGTGGTTCCCCTGATGAGACCAAGTATTAAGGTCACCATAATGTTCTGTAACCATCTACTGCCCTATGAGTTGAACGTGGACTGGCTAAGTAGACAGATAACTCTTGGGCCCAGAAGAGAGAGTCCTGAGTTGACTGGGACTTTGGACAGAGGAATACAGATTCATGGTATGCTTGTCCAGGTCTTTTGTACAACCACTCACCCAGCTCTATCATAGAAGCAGACGAATGGGGGTACATTAGTTACATGGGGTAGCCCTGAATCTGTCACAAGCTGGGCTACTTAGCAGTTTGTGGGGGTGGAGTGGGGAGAACGGACATATTATGTTTAGGGATATTATCCCCCTACTGCAAGACTACTGAGGTGATGACGGTTGGTTGGTTTATTTTGCTGTACTTGATATTTTGCATTTTGATCTTTGGAGTTGGCACTTATTTGTGTCTTTTAGTTTAGGAAAAGGGCTGGTCTTGTTCCAGTCTAGATTCCAAGAAGGGTGTGTTTTGTCTTCAGATTCCAGGACATGTGCTATGGTGAACTGCCAGTATGGATGCGAAGAAGTCAAAAAGGAGGTGCGGTGTTTGTGTCCATCAACTGGACTTCAGTTGGGACCAAATGGAAGGACGTGTATAGGTATGTGTGGCGTGATTTTTTTTTTTTTTTTCCTACTCTCAATTTTTTCTGCAGAGCCCATTCAGAATGAAGTCCTGAATCTTAAAAAACTCTGTATGGCAGCTGGTGTTGGACTACTGATCCCTCCTCGCAGGCTCAAGGTTAGGGCCTTTTGTTTTCAGTGTGTGACAAAGAAATTATCCCTACTATTTTCAGAACATAGGAAAGAATAGTAATGTGCTTAAGATCCAAAGGTCAGTCTCATCGCTGACGAATGACCAACAGTGCAGAAGTAAAATAGGAATCCGTTTCCCAACAATGCACAGTCCCTTGCTCAGGGCTCATGGCAAAGCCACAATTGACCCCACAGTTGGGACCTGGGGGCCCACTGCTAGTTGTATATCATATTTAGAGCTGACTGCAAGGCTTCCACTTTGTTTCTGTCTGAAGATCACCACTTGTTTCAGTTAGGTTATCTGTACATTCAAAGGTCATTTTATTTCATTTAAGGTAACCCTAAGGATACTTATTTCATTTTAAGAGGGAACATAGTCAACAGCATGCACTAGATACACAGCAGAAATCTTAAATTTCATACTTATGTCTTCTTAAAGGGCGGGCAAAAGAACTCCTTCAGGTTTGTCTGTGCCACTGGCTTGAGACTATCAGAAAAACTTATTTTCAGAACACTGTACTCCATTTCACACAACAAAAATCATTAGGCACACAAGTTCATTTGCAAGCTTCCGCAAGAGATTTAGGTGCACCAGGCATCTGCAAACTTTGCAATTTTGGCATTCCAAGACTAGTTCTGTATCCCACAAAAATGCGCAGAGAGTTTGTGTAACTTCCATTCCAGTCAGGCAACTTTAGACGATTGAAACTCATAACTAGAGCTGGGCAATAATTGATTTTTTTTTCCAGTTTGGTAGTAGTTCCAAAACACTGGAAAAACAAATTTAATTCAGGTTGAACTGAATCTGAATTTGTTTTTGAATTTGCGGTGAAGTGAAAAAGTCTGGCTTGGTTTTGTTGCAGAGCAGGGATTCAAACACGGGGCCCCAACATTCCAGCTAAGTGCCCTAGCCACTGGGCTAAAGATTATGAGGGGTGGGGAACAGACATGAGCAACAGCACCAACTCCTCTTTCTTCTTCTTCTCTGGCTGTTTTCTGAATGGCTGAAATTATTTGTGTGACGTTTTCCATATAGTTTCAGGTTGACTGCAACTGCACGTTTTGTTGAATAAACTTTTCATTCAAAAAAACTTCACATAGCTCCACTCATAACTAAGAAAGCTGTATTTTCTGTGGTTGACCCAAAGGTACAGTAGAAATACCTCCTCTTGCACGTACAGTATTACTTGTGAAAATGTCTCTGACATAGAGGAGATGATGATGATGATTTCATGCACGTACACAGTGCCTATCACAATTGTATCTGATCACACTACACATGGTTTGGGTTGGGGTCCAGATTATAAAGAACAGCTGTGCAGGCAACATCTGATAGAAGCAGAGGAATACAGTAGCTATTCAATTTCAGATGTTGCTGAGAAATACATTTTATAGGAATGCACTCTGCAGCCCAAAGAATATTTTGAATCTTGGAGAGGTTTGACATGTCAAACACACAGGAAATGAATTGTAACTATATAGGCCAAAAAACATGCATAGCCTTTCAAGCAACAGATCAATTAAGCACGTCAACCTAGACACACTTTTTCTAAGGAGAGACAGTTACCATAGGAGTTGTCCTTTTGAGACACAGCTGCAACAGCACGCCATACACAAATTTCACATGACCTGAGTGTTTTATCGCTCTATGAGCTATAGAGTGAACCCATATGGACATTTGGCTCAGCTTCCAAACCATAAACATGCCATGATGGGAACAGTATTTCTTTCCTTGAAAATGAAATGAATGTGATTGGAAATGTCCTGTTTTGGGGTGAATCAGCAGGATTCCCTAACCAGCCTCCCATTGTAGTTTTATTATTAACATTTGTTTGAATTATTTAAGAGCTATTTGAAGGCAGACAGTCAGGAAGCATGTGTTTAAATACAACAGACAAGTCTAGAGCTTCTCCTAAATCTTTCTTTTAGCTATTCATACATCCATTTTGATTGTTTCATATGTTTGTTTAGCTTATGAAGTATCTTGGTACATTCAGCATACACCTTAAAACACTAAAAAGGAGTTTAGATAAATGTAATGCTCCAATAGAAATGGTGTAAACATGAGCAAAAGGAAGGATGGTCCAGTGGTTAGAGTATTAGCCTGGGACTTGAGAGATCTGTATTCAATTCCTTTCTCTGTCACAAACCTCCTGTGTGACCTGGGGCAAGTTGTTTGGTTGCTCTGTGACTCAGTTTCCCATCTGTGAAATGGGGATAAAAGTACTTCCAACCTCATAGGAGTATTGTGAGGATAAATACATTGGTATCTGAGCCTTGCACAATATTTAAAGTAGTAGGGATCATGTAAGTACTTACAATAGACAAGCAGCCCAACAGGAAATGTTTAGTTTAATGTAAGGTTCGCCATTCCAGGCCAATGGGGGCCACGGGAAGCAGTGCGGGCCAAGGGAATGGCAAACCGTGGCCAGTGGGAGCTGCGATCGGCCGAACCTGTGGACGCTGCAGGTAAACAAACCGTCCCGGCCCGTCAGCGTATTTCCCTGATGGCCACGTGCCAAAGGTTGCCGATCCCTGGCCTACACCATCAGGTTTGGATATTTGACTGTGGTGTCAGATACATTTAATATACCACTTCACAATGCTACATAAATAATAATAATACAGTAACGCCTCACTTAACGTCCCGGTTAACCTTGTTTCGTTGTTACATTGCTGATCACTTAGAGAACATGCTCGTTTAAAGTTGCGCAATGCTCCCTTATAACGTTGTTTGGCAGCCTCCTGCTTTGTCCACTGCTTGCAGAAAGAGCAGCCCGTTAGAGCTAGCTGGTGGGGGCTTGAAACCAGGGTGGGCCAGCAACCCCCCTATCAGTTCCCCTAAGTTCCCTGTGCGGCAGCTGCCCAGCAGGCTATCAATTGCCAGGCAGTTCAGCTGTCCCTCCCCCCACTGCCATGTGCTGCTCCTGCCCTCTGCCTTGGAACTGCTCCTGGGAGCCTCCTGCTTGCTGTGCAGGGGGGGGGGGAAGGAGGGGTAATGTCAGGGTATCCCCCTCCCCCTGCTCCTGTATCCCATCTCCATAAAGCGGGGGAGGGAAACAACAGGGCTCAGGATGGAAGGAGCTTGCTGGCCACAGCTGCTGTCTCAACTTGCTGACCTACTTAAAAAGGCAATGTACTTAGAGTGGGGTCAGCATACTTAAAGGGGCAATGCCTCTCTCTCTCTCACACACACACACACACACACGCACGGTGTGTGTCTCTGTCTCTCTCTATCATGTTGTGTCTCCTTTCTTCATTCGTGCTACATTGTAGAGTGTTAACCCTTGAGGGCTCAGCCGAGTGCTAGTTCAGCATTTAGCAGTAAGACATTTCCTGGGAAATATCCCACCGTCTGATTCCACCACCTCAACCAAGCTTCACAATCATCATTGCTGTGTATGGTATTAAATTGTTTGTTTAAAACTTATACGGTGTATTTGTGTGTGTATATATGTATATATATAATAAAAAAATAGTCTTTTGTCTGGTGAAAAAAAATTCCCTGGAACCTAACTCCCCCATTTACATTAATTCTTATGAGGAAATTGGATTCACTTAACATCGTTTTGCTTAAAGTTGTATTTTTCAGGAACATAACTACAACGTTAAGCGAGGAGTTACTGTAGTTAAGGATAGTGGGTTGTCATGGCAAAATCTATCTAACGTCACAGTTTGGTCATGTGGGGGGAGGGAAAGGGAAGGCAAATCCCATCAATTTTTAAATGCCATATGTCACCAGTTGCATTATTTTAATGAAAATGTTACTTCATTTTGCAATAAGAAAAAAAATTAAAACCAATTTAACATATAGCCACTCCAGATCATTGAAGAACCTTTCAAACAGTGGTTCTCAGGTATTTTCCATACCCGGGCCCCTTTCCCATTTATCGGGAAGGGCAGGGTGGTCGCATGCCCCTGACAGCTGTCTGCTACCCCCCGGTACTCACGACTTCCAGCCTGAGTTCTACCCATAATTTCATACTTTTCTGTCAGAGCCAAAGGATTTACCCCTGCAAGCAGCAGTGCAGGAAATCAGGAGAGAAAACTGCTGTTCTTTTTTTCTTCACTGCTGCTTTCCCACCTCTGCAAAAGGCCTTATCTTAAGAGACTTCTGCTGTTTCCTCCCAACTGCCCCCGCCCCAGAAGAGAAATCACAATCTGTGAAGTACTCCCCTCCCCAACGCATATTGCATGACCATATGACAAACCATTACCTTTAATGGTTCCTGCTATCTCCCAGCCTTTCACGCAACCTAATTTTTAATTTGGTAGCTCTCAAGGTTTTCAGTGAACTTGGCTTTACTGTTACCATCTTACCACGTAATCATATGCAAAACAATCCCCAAATATAAAAGTCACAGGACATGTTTTATAACATGGACATTTTGAAACGTGTGGTTCCAGTGACAGCTGTGACCAAAGCACACCTTGCAAGTGACAACTAGCACTGCATTTGTTTCTGCTTGATCTTACGAATTTCCATTTTCCTTGTCCTAGATATTGATGAGTGCTCCACTGGCAAAGCTATTTGCTCTTATAACCGCAGATGTGTCAACACATTTGGAAGCTACTATTGCAAGTGTCAGATTGGTTATGAACTGAAATATGTCAGCGGCCATTATGACTGTGTAGGTAAGATTTAGGCAGTAGGTTGGTTTGTCTCTTCCCTTTCCTCAATGTATATCTTTCATGTTATTGCATGGTGATCAGTGGATTTTGCTTTAAGCATGAATATTGGCTTCTGCTTGAGAGTGCAGCTCAGAACCAGATGTAAAATATCATTTAGAACCCTCCTTGGGACACTGACTAATCTCTGCAGCCTGATGACTGAAAAACTATATATAATGATATCAATGAAAATTTACAATGGCAACTGCAATTTATATTGCCTTCTCTTGCCAAGACCTCTCTAGGAAATTTCACACAAGATGTACAATTATTTGTAATCAAGTCTGCAACAAGGGAACAATGGATTACAAGGGAGTGCTCAGTTTTGATTTAAAGCTGCTAATTGAAAGCTCGCTGGTTTGGATTAAAACCAAAAGGGGTAAATTCATTTTTTGGCTCTGATCAGCATAGTGAGGTGCAGCTTCCGATGCTTTCATTAAGTTGTAACACAATGGCAAGAAATGTTTGTTTGTCCAGCTCAAATAAGAAAAAATAACTGGCTGGAAAAAGTAGGGTTTAATTACTTTGAAGAACTGTGTTACATCTCTGATCTTTCAGATGCAGAGACAAATACAGATGAAAATACTCTTAAGTCATCTTAACATACACAGATGCAAAAACAAATGTCAAACCTCCCTAGTCCTCTGTTGCAGTCCATTAACTAGAGGCCTCACATATTGCGTAAGAAGACCAAATTTGTAGTTGATGTGGCAGGCATTGAAAAATGTTGCTCTAATGATACAGTCGTAAGGGCCTGAGAGAATTGGAATTACACTGAGCACATACAAAGGAGAACTAATGTCCTCTTGTTTTTTGAGAGATTTTTTTAAGGCAGATTTCGGAGTGGAGTCTTGGTTTCCTGTTGTACTCAAATCCCAGGAGCCTTAAAACTGAAAATGATTTCCTTCCCCCCACCTCCTTATGTATGTATGTGCATAGACAAAATGGTGAGACCTGGCCTAAAGCTTGCAGGTCTGAATCTTATTGACAAATACATCAGCCGTTTGATGCAGAGTTCTCCTCTGTTACATGTTTGTCCACGCTGATCCATGCTTTGCATCTGTACCTTTGACCTGCCGGGTGTGAATCATGGGTGGGTAACATATGAATGGGTGCAAAACTTTAACTTTGTAAGAACTTAGCTCCCTCATGTGGGAGAAACCAGAAAAGCTCTTGTGCCATTCAGTAGCAAAATCAAATGGAACAAAACAATTAAATCAGTTACTGCCACTGTTTAAAATGTTCTGATGTCAATTTAACATAATGGCTTACTGAATAGCTCAATTATATTTTCCAACAGCATTCTGTAAGTGCCTGGCACTTCTCAAACAAATACAAGAACCCCCTGCCCTAGGGATCTTACAATCTACAGGCACAGTTCTGCCACCCTTACTTGCAAGGGTAGTTTGCAAGTAGGATTGTTCTTGGAGTGAGGTGCTATTCCATGCAAGGAGGGCAGAACTAGGGCCAAAATGACTGCATTTCATCACAGTCATGCTTATTCTCATGGGCCCTTTGTATTTTGTTAGGAGAGCAACATTTACAATCTCAGGGCCCAATCCTGCTCTCACTGAAGGCATAAGCAAAACCCCCATTGACTTCACTAGGACCAGGAGCAGGCCCTAAAATTATTGTACTAAAAGTCATGCTCAGAAAGGGAGGCCAAAAGTTGTGGTCTTGAGAAAGAAGCAAGAGTCCATACCCAGAGCGGATTCTTCTGTTAGTGGTGGTTTCAGGACATTCTTGTTCTGATGCTGGTGCTTAAATTGTCTGAAAACAGATGACTGTCTGAAATTTTCACTGAAGTATCCCTTTTCTAGATATAAATGAATGTGCTGCAAGTATACACAAGTGTAACGTCCATGCAGGGTGCCTCAATACTCAGGGATCCTTCAAGTGCAAATGTAAACAGGGCTACAGAGGTAGTGGATTTGAATGTTCTGGTAAGTAACTGCTGATCCCTGGAGGTGCATTGCTTTTACTCTTCTCAGGTAACTACAGGATGATTATTAGAACCCAGTCCTTTATTTCTTAGCCAGACAAAACTCCCACTGAAGTCACACACATATTACAAGAGTAATCTCTTATTGCATATATAATAAAAGTATTTTTTTGGCCAAATTATGTTCTGTTACACCGGTGGAATCCCACTGATGTAATGGTGAGCAGAATATGGTCTTATCCATCTTCTCTCTCTAAAGAAATCTGCTGCAGTTTTTCCTCAAAGGCTTGGCCTCTTGAACTATTCAGACCTTTCTAGAAGAGTTGCAAACAAGCTCAGGTAAAATGGGTGTGGAGGGAACAGGGCTTGCTTTTCGTGCTAAAATGTTTTTGTTTATAGTTTTGTCTCATGTCTTTTCTGTCCACAGAGATGTGTATGCCAACTCCTAAATGAAAATGACCCTCCAAAAAAGAAAAAATTAAACATAAAGACAAGAGCAGCCTATTTAAGTGCACCGTTTTATTTTCTGGTGAAGGTTTCTCCTACAACTTAATTCAATAAATCTTCCTCAGGGGAGATCAGAAAATGTTTCCATTCATCAGAGGAAGAATGTTGTGAAAATATTCTGATAAGCTCTTATCTACTTTGTATGTCACAGTAGCCCTTTCCATGGGTCCTGCTCCATTAATCCTTTTAAACTTTAGGTGATTGGGTATGGACCTCCCTCAGCTGGACCTCTCAAAGTCCCTTCTAGCCCTGCATTTCAATGATTCTATGTAATTCTATTATTTATTTATATTACACTAGCACTGCCAAAATGTGCTGTGATGTTATATTCTATACAGGTTCTTATTCCCATTACTGTGGTATCTCAAACCTTGCAATGATGCCTTAAAAAGCTGACTAGCACCTATCATGTTCTAGATGCTGTACATAGTGACAATTTAGGCAGAATCCTTTTTTTGCATCAGTACTGAATCTGTTAGGCTCAATTCAGACCCAACATGAGTGAAGTCAATAAGGACACTACTATTTCAGGGCTGAATTTGGCCCATTGTCTTTAATTTCTTAATGCTAGTGCAAAGGTATATGGCCATGGAGAACAGTTTTCAAGTTCAGTGAACACTATATACTAACTACACCTTCAAAGTTGCCAATGACAAGAATGTAGTCAACATTGAAAGGGTGTTAAGATTACAGCGTTAATCTTATCCCAGCTTTGTCACCACTGTTTGACATACCTTTCCATCAGGTAAATCTGACTTGCATGACAGCTAAAGATTCAGAAATTTGGACCACATCAAACTGATTTAAGCAGGATCAAGCAAAAATATCTAATTTTGGTCAGATTTTGTACATAGTTCGGTTTAAGAGCATGACTCTGACCAGGGCCAGCTCCAGGGTTTTGGCCGCCCCAAGCAGCCAAAACAAAACAAAAAACAAAACAAAAAAAAAGCCACGATCGCGATCTAAAAAAAGCCGCGATCGCGATCTGCGGCAGCAATTCGGCGGGAGGTCCTTCACTCCCAGGCGGAGTGAGGGACCGTCCGCCGAATTGCCGCCGAATACCTGGACCTGCCGCCCCTCTTCAGAGCGGCCGCCCCAAGCACCTGCTTGAGAAGCTGGTGCCTGGAGCCGGCCCTGACTCTGACATGCCAAAAGAGTGAGTGTGTGTGAGAGAGAAAAAAAGTATACTGCCAGAACTTGTAGCAAAATATACTGAATTCTACTTTGAGTTGACAGTTTTACAAGTTTGTCCTTTGGGACAAATTATGATGTTGCAACATCTTCTAAGTGTAACATCAAAACTCAGTGCAAATACAGTGAAAACCTAGCTTGCTCAAACCTGGGACAATCCTGTGAAACGCACCCTAGAGGGGAGTTTTCCATACACTTTTAATGGTCCCTATTACCTACCATGGTAGCACCGGGCACCTTTATAGTACTTTAAATACAAGACAAAAGTGAAATTGATACTTTTGCATAAATATGGCTAGTTGAAAAATTTCCATTGAAACTATATTTTCATGGAAAATTGGATTTTTGACTGAATTAATTTTTTTGTGAGAAGTATCTATGTTCTGTGGAAAATATTGACTTTTCATTAAAAAAAAACAAACAAACAAAAATTCTTTGACCAAAATCTAAAAATTTAGATTTGGAAGTCCAGTCTCTCATGGGAGTTGTAGTTCAGGTGCCTCATGCCCATATTCTCCCCTACAGACAGGGCTCCCCAGCCAGACTTCATCACCCTTGATGCACCCCAGTGGTTCAGCAAGAGGGGACACTGTGGAGCATCATGGGAGATGTAGTTTGCCTTACAATACAGTCTAACGTCAAACTAAACTGAAACAAAATGTTTCTATTTGGGTCCACAAACAAAACAAAACAAAAATAGATGCAGAAATGTCAAAATGTTTCTGTATCAAAGGGGAACCCTATTTTCTGACCAAATCTATGCATGAGTTATTTTTACTTAAACAGAAATATTTCAAAGATGAATATGCATCACTTTGTTACATTTTTACAAGTTACTTGAATGAGAACAAAGGAAGAATTTTTGAGCATATGCGGTGGTTATTGCACATTCTACAAGGGCTAGTCCTATAGAATCATCAATGTTAGAGACTGAAAAATCCTGTTAGACCATCTACTCCATCTCTCTGCTAGTCTGGGACTGTTCACTACAATACAGTTTCTAGTATTCTGTCCTAACTTACTGAAGTTTGTTAATTATCCAGAAGAGGGATAAAAAGTAGCACATTATTAAAATTTGCAGAGGATAGTGAATTAAGAGGTATGAACTCCAGAGAGAGCAGAGAAATAACACAGATAAATAGAGAAATTAGAAATATGGACAGAAAGGAATAAAATGAGAGTTCAATTGGGAAAATGTATGCAAGTCTAGGTAGAGAAAATAATCTAAAACTTACTCAGTGGGAGGGCAAACCTGGACAGCATTGGTGCTAAAAGAGACGTGTGTAGCAGCTGACAGCAAAATAGACATACAGACTTATACTGAGCAGCTAAGTGCTCCCAATTCAAAAGGTAATGGGAGTGAAATCCTGGACTTATTGAAGTCAATGGGAGTTTTGCTATTGACTTCATCAGGGTCAGGATTTCACCCTGGTAGCTTAGGGTACTTGGTGTCTTGCATGATTAGTCCTAAAACTACACCATATTTGGGAGAGGAATCACTAGGTCTGGATAACAGTTTTCTACAGGATACTGTAAATGATTTTCCATTGCAATGGCATTAGATTTTACTAATGCATGATAAATCAAAGGGTATGTCTACACCCAGCCGCTAGTTCAGTGGCTGGGAATCGAAGTTCTGGGTTCGACTTATCACGTCTTGTCTGGACGCGATAAGTCGAACCAGGAAGTGATCGCCGTCGACTGCGGTACTCCAGCTATACGAGAGGAGTACCGCGGCGTTGACGGGGGAGCCTGTCTGCCGCGTGTGGACCGAGGTAAGTTTGAACTAAGGTACTTCGAACTTCAGCTACGTTATTCACGTAGCTGAAGTTGCGTACCTTAGTTCGAATTGGGGGGTAAGTGTAGACCAAGCCAAAGTGTTATGTGAGAGGTTAGCCAGGTAGCTCTCATTGCTTGTAATGAGAATCGTGTGGCTAAACCTCTTAAAATCACTGAATAATTACAGAGGTTAATAAATGTAAAATTCAGATGTGGGTTGGTGTTTTTTAATCTATATATAGAATGGAACATGGCTACTACAGTGAACTGCATACAGAATACTGCATGTATACATGACAAAGCCTGACTGGGATGATTTAGATGGGGTTGGTCCTGCTTTGAGCAGGGGGTTGGACTAGATAACCTTATGAGGTCTCTTCCAACCCTGATATTCTATGATTCCATGATACTGTCTGTGGTACTTCAGGCTTACTTTTGCCTCTGTTTGTAGATTTGAATGGCATGTTGAAGTGTGTTTCTGAACTGCCTCTTAGAACCTACAAAAATTGTAACCCTTTACCTAAAGGGGTGTTGTTAACCATTCTCACATCTGGCCTTCATCTTATTCCAGTCCACAGCTTTTGTCAGGTCTCTGTTTCTTCTGACTTCTGATTGTGTATTGACTAAGTACATTTCTTCCATCACACACTCGTGTGTGTTTCAGTCTTTTATTTGAGAATAGAATCCCAAGAGTTTTTACATAAGCAATATGGATTCCTGGGAAAACAGGAACTGCTTCTTTTAATTCACTCTTTGTATTAAGTTATTAAAGGAGCAAGGAAAAGGCAGTGCTAACTTTGAAACTAGAAGTTTCATCCAGCATTCTGTCATGCAATGGTACTTTATTTATATTACCCAGCTGGAGACCTCTGCATTCTTGTCTTGTTGTTCTTTGTTAGGTTGCTAAATAGCAGCACATGAACACAACTGTCCTTGTCTCCCCTCTGTCTAGCATATCACATTGTTCAAGGTGATTTTGTTCATCTCAGAACATGAAAAACCTAAGGCTGGTTCTGTTTTCCTACTAACTCACCAATCCTCAACACAGCATAGGCCAACATCACAGGATTTCCAGAAGCTTAAAAAGCTGTTCTAACCCTGTCACCGTGAGACTCTTCTAATTCTGTTTAAAATGTAGCCCAGTACTGCTACCATCCTTTATTCAATAACTGTGATCCATTTGCTGTCTCAGGTATTGCCTGCTGAAAGTCTTGCTGCTTGCTTTAGGCAAGTGTAATCCAGTATTGTGGAAATGCCGCAGTTTCTCTAAGTCTCACTCTTTCCCTACCCGAGGTGGTCAGATTTTTAATGGGAATTTATTTATTTTGAAACTTTTTATTGAGGCAAAGTTTCAATTAACATACTACATTATTTATTCAGGATCAGGTTACTATTCAAAGAACTTGGATAAAGATTCTGGTGTGCTGGCTGCGTGCCCTCTTCCTCTGAATACGCAAGAGAGGGTGACCAAATTCCTAAGTACCTATCCTCATTTTGGCACTTCTTTTGTGTGTGAAAGCTCTT